GCACCCCGCCTCCCCCCTCCCGGCCCCGCGCATACTTTTCCTATAAAGGGAAAGAAATATTGAGTAACGAAGCGGCGGATTGGGACCGCCTCCCGCCCGTCTCCCGGTGGCGCGGGGACCCGGCGGCCCCGGGGCACGGCTCCTGCCCTTGCCCCGCCGCCAAAGCTGCTGCCGGGCTGCCCGGGAGCCGCTTCGCCCCACCTGGTCGTAAACACTTCGGTAGCTACTGTGAGCCTGGGGGGGAGAGGGGAAACGCTGACGGTTCGGTTTCATCACGAAGCCGTTAGCTGGTGTACAGTTATATCTGACACGCACCTCATTGACGTAAATTTTTTTTCCTGTGGACAAAGAAGCTGCGCTTCCTGCTGCCGCGGCAGGCTGTTACGCTCGTTGGACGTCCCCAAGGTGAGGGGAAAACAACCTTGCTCTGTATTTTCCCCTCAGGACAGCAGAAGACACGTCTGGAAGGCTATCTTCTAGAAAGCGGTTAGATGGCATCCTTTGCTGCCAAACGGAAGAGAGATCACACTCCCTAATGAGGACCCCTCCAAGTGCAACATTTTCTGATAACGTCTAATCCCTTCTTGCTGATCAAACTTTGTCCCAAGCACTCAGGGAGTTTTATGTTCTCTGACATGTATCAAGGTATAATGTATCAATGTTAAAGTGATCCACCAAATGGGACAGGGAGCTTCTGCCCAAAAGCAATTTCAAACTTTATCTGCATCTTGTAAGGCAGCCTAGTGCGATGTGACTCACCATTGCTAGGGATATGGTTGCAAGCTTGTTGCATTGTTGGGACTAATGATGGAAACCCTGTGCTGTTTCCTGGTGTCCAAACATCTCATTTTTCAGCCTTACAGTAAACTTTTAGAATCATACAGGTTAAATTAGCATTTGATGTATTTCTCACTTACTTAAACCAGGGTGAAGAATTAAGTTAGATGTTATTTTGGTTTAACAGTTGGTTGAGGAAAGGGTAATAGATAATCTTACTAATAAACAGCCAACAATTTAACAGACTTGGCTGAGTGCACAGTAATAGACAAGCTCTTAGTCATTCTCTGCATCTCTAGTCTCTCCTGTTGTAATGGTTTCTGGGTGTCAACGTGTGTCTCCTCTTGTGGCTCTCCTTTAGAGAGAAGCAGATTACTTGAACTGAACGTGTGAGTAGGAGACTCCAGGTGCTGCCAAGGCTATCGGGTGGAGCACCTTGCAGGGCAGTACTTGGCCTTGAGCTACATCCCAGCCACTGGGCCGCCACCCTGGGAGATCCTTCCTCTGGCCTGCTATGTCCCGTGGGGCTGGCTACCTGTGAGCTGTATCAACCTCAAAGATCATCTTTCTCTTACCAACCTACGTTTTGAATGTGACACCACCTCCTCTCCAGCTGCCAAAACTGTAAACTGTTACTGCTCGCAGCTGCCAAGCCATTCAGTCGCTTCATTAGGAGCAGCTGAAGCAGGCTCCCCCTCCAGCAGCCACATAACCCCCCTCCAGGCCGCCCCAGGCACCCCCTGCCTGACAGGCTTCCCCGCGCCTTTTATCAGACAAATCTGCCTTTCCTTTAAAACTACGAGCAGGCGAAAAGAAGCCGTCCCAGATGGCAAAGCGGGCCCGCACCAGGCCCTCGCGGCCTCACGCGCACGCGCGCCGCCCCACGTGAGGGCGGGCCGCGGAGATGGCCGGTAACCCGGATGCAGCTACTCGGCAAGATGGCGGCGGCGGTGCTGGAGAGCGGCCCGTTGTAGCGCCCGCGAAGCGGATCCCGGCCCCGCCATGGCGGACCTGGGCCGGCAGTTGCAGGAGTACCTCGCGCAGTCGAAGGCCGCTGCCGCCTGCGGCCCCAGTACGATCCCCGCGTCGCCGCCCGCCGGCTGCTCGCAGGAGGAGGCGGGGAGCGGCGGCGGCGGCCTGGGGGCCTGGCTGGGCCCGCTGAACCCCTT